TATGTTTCAGGGCCCTAGTTTGAGAAACATCAACTTAAAGTAGGCTTATTCTTTGAAAATACCTTTGAATTACGATTTAGCCCTGTAAAAGAGAAATTGTCTTTTTAATCAATAGAATCATTTAAAATACGCATCTACATGAAGACATACTTTTAAGAATTTATCTTACAGCGCTGGCAGAGTTATTAAAAATAAAACTAAACATACTGTATAATTGCTAGAATATACATATAACAAGATAATGTAGATTCACAGAGTTAGGATGATTTTTAGGAGTTGGAAGAACGTAACAGGTGCATTAAGGATTTACTTGTTTTTATTTTATAGAGAGGGTGCAAGTGGCGGGAGGGGCGGAGGGAGAGAATCCTCAATCAAGCAGGCTCCCCGCTGAGCACAGAGCCTGACTTGGGGCTCAATCCCAGGACCCTGAGATCATGATGTGAGCTGAAATCAAGAGTCAGATGCTTAACTGACTGATGCACCCAGGCACCTCAAACTTAACAGATGGATTAACTCCTGAGCTCAAAAGTTCAGTAAGGTAGGTCTAGGATATATATTCTAAGCGGAAGGAAGCATGAGAGAATGCAGTGTGTTCAGAAAATTGGTAAATGGGAGAGAGTAGATTGCAGAAGATTAGTTTGGGGGGGGTGTTTTTAGGTGTTCAGTGATGATTGTACTGGGGATGAACAGTAAAATTCAAGTGATATTTAGGAGATGGAATTACTGTGGTGTGTGTATATTGAAGTAGTGCATGAAAGATAGAAGTAAATGATGCCCAAGTTTCTGAATTAAGTCCTTAAATTAGTATGGGTATATCAGTCAGTATTCTTCTGAGAAACAGAACCAATAGGAAATTGTATATACGTGAAGACAGACTTAAGGTAGGGAAAGAGAGAAAGAAAGAAATAGAAATTAATTTTAAGGAATTGGTTAGTGTGATTGTGGCTAGTCTGAAATTCATAGGGCAGGCCAGTAGGTTGGAAATTCAGGGAGGGACTTAATACAGTATTGATGCGTAGTTAACTTTGTGAAACCTGTTTTTGCTCTGTAGACCTTCAACTGATTGGGTGAGGCCCACCCACATCATAGTAATCTTCACTGTGTCAACTTATTACAGATTTTAATCATATTTACAAAATACCTTCATAGCAACTGAACCATTGTCTAGCCACGTTGACACAAAATTGAACTGTCACAATGAGAAATCCAGGTGTTGAAGCAGGTATGTGAATAAAATCAACTTTTTACTTGCTCAACTGAGGCAATAGTCAGTGGCATTTAGCTAGAGATGCCCACTAGGCAGATTGAAATAGGATCTCAAATTCAGTTGAGAACTGTTTGGAAAGAGATTTAGTAGGTCAGTATTCAAATTTTAACGATAATAGCTGAAACATGGCTGAGGATGGTAGTTCTAAGAGAAAGGAGAGAAGGGTTCAAGAAGGAAGCCCTGGGGGTTATGTATAGAGAAAGAACTGTCAGGAGAAAAGAGTCACAGAAAAGAAGACTGAAGGAGTGCCCAACTCAAGTTACAGAAATTTGTTATTTTTCACTACAAGCCTGATATAACTCCCATATTCCCCATCCAAGACAGAAATGATGTCATCAAAAGCACATCTGGAGCCAAATGGAGTCAATTCTTTTTTTTTTTTTTTAAAGATTTTATTTATTTGACAGAGAGAGACACAGCGAGAGAGGGAACACAAGCAGGGGGAGTGGGGGAAGGAGAATCAGGCTTCCCGCGGAGCTGGGAGCCCGATGTGGGGCTCGATCCCAGGACCCTGGGATCATGACCTGAGCCGAAGGCAGGCGCTTAACGACTGAGCCACCCAGGTGCCCCAAATGGAGTCAATTCTTATTTGTACATTAGTATGTATATTTTCCTTATCTAACCTTTATTCTTTTTCAGTGTTTTGATTCTAAGTTCACATGCTGTGTCTTATCTGGAATAAGTAATGTTCCTAGAAGTAAGAGGTGCCTTAATATCTTCGTGGTAGATTTTAATTGTGCTTTTTTCCTAGCAGAATAAGTACCATTGGGAAGGGGTCTCATGAGAAAAATGAATGAAGCACTTTATGATTAATTAGTCCTGCCTAGGCTATTGACAGATGACAGGGACTTTTTTTTTTTTATTGGTGTGTATCCAGAAGTTTGCATGGGAAAACTGTACCTAATATAAATGTAAATTTTCTTTGTCAAATGTCTCTTAAAAAAAAAAAACAACTGCTTTAGCAGTTTATCAATAGCATTTATTTGGTATCTGATATTTGTACATTGTTTTCCTTGATACCTTGGTGTGGGGGGAAGGAACCATTTTACTTTTACAAAGGACTCTTTACTGTCTTTTAAAATAGTGAATATAATCTGATGTTTTATTTTTAAGACTCAGGACTATCATTTTATTGGTGTACTTTTGGTCTCTTGGTATATGCGCTGCCGAAGCGAGCACAGAGAGAGAGAGAGCACATGAGGGGGAAGGGTCAGAGGGAGAAGCAGACTCCCTGGACTCCAGGATCATGACTTGAGCTGAAGGCAGTCGCTTAACTGACTGAGCCACCCAGGCACCCCCTTGGTCTCTTGGACTGTAGATTTACCGTTATGCTTTTTACTTATCAGCAGTTGTTTTTTTTTTCCCCCTGGATGTTCACGAATGGGATAGATAGAAAAGTAGATATGTTGGAGGAGGCGCTGGCCTGCTGTTCTCCACCTGGCCCACAGGAAGGTGGCCTCCCAGGTCCAGGAGGGCCATGGGGGTGGGGTAGGGTGGGGAGGGGGAGAGAATGCAGAGCCTCTGCCTTTGTGGTTGGAGAGTCTTTACCTCGTTTCCTGGGTATTCTTAGATGTGAATCCCAGTGGAGCAGCCTGATAGACAAGCCACCCTGGGGACCTGAGGACGGTCAGCTGCTCCTCTACCTGTCGAAATAAGAGTGGACCATTGGTTGAAGGAGAGAGTTGTGCTCTTTCTCTGGCAATAAAATGGTCTTTGGAGATCACTGTAAAATTATAATGGATAAAAAATTGGACAGGTGTCACTTGAAGATACCAGGACAAATGGAACAGTAATTAACAAGCTGGAGGTTGTTAAGCTTACTTGCCCTTTTCCTGGAGATGTCATCTACTTTGATGTACATTGGAATACAGTGTGGTATACCTCTGTGATTCTTTACATGAAAAGCAAGACAAAGCATAAGAATCTTTTGAAGCTGATAAAGAAAATGTATCCCATAAGAACAAAGATAATCTTGGGGCTGGGCAAGGTCATGATCCCCAGATCCTGCCATATTGACTGCCACTAGGTGGATTTGAGGAACCACAATCATTGACATTGATGTTGGACCTCTTCAAGACAGTGTCTACCTCTTTCATAGAGTCTTCTGCAGAGCATTTCTTCAGTTTCAGATCTGGAGGTGCGAGTATCCCCTATGAAAGCCTTGCAAAGATTGGGCTGCTCCATTGGGAGAAAATGAAAGGAGGGGCACCTGGGTGGCTCAGTCAGTTAAGCATCTGCCTTTTGCTTAGTTCGTGATCCCCGGGTCCTGGGATTGAACCCTACATCAGGCTCCCTGCTCAGTGGGGAGTCTTATTTCTCCATCTCCCTCTGTCCCCTCTCCCCCCCGCCCCCAGCTCATGCTCTGTTTCTTACTCTCTCTGATAAGTAGTGTTTTTTTTTTTTAAAAATGAAAGGAGATGGGGAGGCTAATCTGAACTTGCAGTTGATGGTTTCATACCAGTGTGGAAACACCCAAAGATTAAGCATGGGTATCAGAGCTGCAGCCATGATGCTCATGTGCATCATTTGTCAGAAGTTGCTGCACAACTACATGAGATTGCAGCCCAGGAGTGTTTTTATTATCTGGTTATAGAATCATTGAAAACACCATGTGTTAATGTTGTGGCCTGGGCATTTTCCACAAGTTGACATACCAGTATTGGCAAATATTCCTACTTCCCAGTTGCCAGTGGCTTTAACATCCTATCCTGATTTGTGTTGGGGCCACAACTGCTATACTCACTCAGTGAAATTCAGTCATATCATCGAACAGATGTTCAAGACCTAAGTGTCAGGGAAGGCACCAAGATGGCTTCAGAGTATTGGAGGTCATTGACAGGGTGTTTCGAGAACTACTCCGTCTAAACATCTTAAGGTCATTTTTATATGCCCCTCTCAAGGGAAACTGGGGAGACATTAGGTACTCTGGTGCGACTTTTCTTACATGGAGCTTTTCCTTTGAGTGAGACTTTTTAGTGACCACATCTTCGATTCGTATCTAGCCTAAGGCTTAAGAGGGTATGTTCTTTTTTTAAGAGTTCATGTTCTTGACCACAGCTCTGGAACAAGAACACAAGGGGTCAGGAGGCTCTGGGCACCAAGCAATCCCTTTGCTGGTTACTTTGGGTCTTGGCCTGATGCATCACATCTGAGAGCTCTTCCCTTGCTTTTCCACAGCTACAGGTCACATTTGTGTGTATCTCCCATGTTATTTTATTCCTTCCCTGCTTTCCTGTGATTGATGCCTTGAGATCCTGGGTTGTGGGGCAGGTGGGTGAGTGTGGCAGGCATGGCAGGCTAAAGTTTGGGGTGAGGGCTGTGTGTATGTGTGTGGTGGTGCGTCTGGCTCATGATGTTCTAGTCACCCTGTGTATCTATGGAGCAGACCCTTCTGACTGAGACCCTGGAGAGTGTGTGAATGGTGCATGAGGGACCATTTCCAGCTCTGATGCTGGAAGCCGCCCATCTGTATGGCCATTGCTTCCTCTAGTTCTTTTTTCTATGTTAGGTTTGCTAGGTCATCTGGGGGGGTATTAGGAATTTTTTTAAAGTAGGCTCCATGCCCAACGTGAGGCTAGAATTCAGGATCCTGAGATAAAGAGTTACATGCTCTACTGACTGAGTCAGCCAGGGGCCTCAGGAATTTTAATTTTGTAAAGTTTTTTTTTTTTTTTTTTGCTTGAAATCACCTGTTAACGTTTGTTAGTAAAACTTGTAACTTTTTGCTTCTTAGGAAAATTTTCAACTGTTGTCTTGCTCATGATACAAACTCTGAGAAGCAGCTCTCTATTTGTGGAAGGAAGTGCTTTTTTGTGTTCTAGTAAACAATCTGCTTGTTTAAAAAAATTCTATTTAAAGTAAGCATAAAAACTTTTTTTCTATTTAAAGTAAGCATAAAAACCTTGAGTAAGAGCATGCTATCCCCTGACTCAAATAAATTTTAGTGAATGGACCCCAGCACTTACTGTTTTTTTAAGGTTGTTTTTCCCATATTCTTGAACTATTTATTTTGATTGATGTTGGTATATAAATGATTTCAGTGTTGATACTCCTAGTAATACAGGTGTTACTGTGTCATTATTTAAAACATTTCTATAAATGTATTTGTAATAAAATACACATAAATTAACAATAAGGGAAGAAAATTGAATAAAAAACTAACTGCAGATATACTGATGATTACAGTCTCATCTATTTTATATCAAGGGATTTGCATTTTGGGGGAAGGAGTAAATCAGCCAAAAGTAGATGATGAGATTAAAGTACATTCCTAGATAGTATGTAAGAATACAGGAAATGACATTGAATATGATACAGAAAATGGGACTTTTACTAAGTGATCTGCTGTAATTATAAAACTGCAGTGGGGGGCGCCTGGGTGGCTCAGTCGTTAAGCGTCTGCCTTCGGCTCAGGTCATGATCCCAGGGTCCTGGGATCGAGCCCCGCATCGGGCTCCCTGCTCGGCGGGAAGCCTGCTTCTCCCTCTCCCACTCCCCCTGCTTGTGTTCCCTCTCTCGCTGTGCCTCTCTCTGTCAAATAAATAAATAAAATCTTTAAAAACAAACAAACAAACAAAAAAAACTGCAGTGGTAGCTTCCCCAGTGGAAGATGGAGAAATTTTGTTTCATGGGAAGTTGTGAGTTTCTATATTTCTAGTGGTATAAAAATTTTTGATTTGAATAAGATGGAAAAGGCATCATTATTACCTTATTCATTTGTTTGTATAGTTAATATATAATCACAGCATTTATTTGTGTGAAAGCCAAGAATTAGATTTCTTTTTTTAACATTTATATATATAAATACTGTAACATTTATATACGTATATATATATAAATTTTTTAAAAAAGATTTTATTTATTTATTTGGCAGAGAGAAAGAGAGCGAGCACAAGCAGGGGCAGAGGGAGAGGGAGAAGCAGGCTTCCTGCTAAGCAGGGAGCCCGATGCGGGGCTCAATCCCAGGACCCTGGAATCATGACCTGAGCCGAAGGCAGACGCTTAACCGACTGAGCCACCTAGGCTCCCCATTAATATATTTTTTTAAGTAATCTCTACGCCTAATGTGGGGCTTTAACTCAGCAACCCCCAAAATCAAGAGTTGCACACACTACCAACTGAGCCAGCCAGTAGCCCCAAATAGATGTATTTTTTAACAAGAGGAAATGAAATTTAATTTCATATGTATGGGGAGCCCCAAAGACATGAAATTCCTTAAGTAGAGTTCTTTATTTACCCTGTTTGTGAATTTTGTCTTTCTGTGTAGAAAGAATCTGCATTCAGGAGGAAATAATCCAGAAGGAAGACCAAGCAGATCAAGATGTGTAGCTCTGTGGCAGCCAAGTTGTGGTTTTTGACAGATCGTCGAATCAGGGAAGACTATCCCCAAAAAGAGATTTTACGAGCATTAAAGGCCAAATGTTGTGAGGAGGAATTGGACTTCAGGGCCGTGGTGATGGATGAGGTGGTACTGACAATCGAGCAAGGAAACCTGGGTAAGTCTATACTAAGTAATTTAATGGATTTTTTTCTTAGAATATCTTGAATCCACATTTTTTAGGAATAGTTTGGAGGAAGGAATTGTTAGCCTTATCGTTACGAAGTATCATCTAATCTTAAAATCTAGCATTTTTTTTTTTTTTAAGATTTTGAGAGAGAGCACAAGCCACTTAACCAACAATATTTTGGCCCTCCAAAATCTATATGTTATGGAAGAAATGGAAACATCAGTATTTATTGAACTTCTTATTATGTAGAAAATAGTTGGGAGAGAAATTAAAGATGATCTATTTTTCCCCCCATTATTGCTGTCTAATTTTAAAAGACCTTGTTTATAAAGTGCTCATAAGAGAATTTGTACCTCATGGGGGTCTTTTCAGTAAATGCATCAAATTCCACATGTGATTCTTATTTTCTTTATAAAATATTTTATACATATAGTATAAAATGGCAATACAATTTTATTCTTTTTACTGGATAGAAGTGTCCTAATGATTTGACTCAATTGGTGATGTCTTGTATTTTTAATATTTCATGTTTGTTTTAAGGTTATAAGGGGAAGATATTTTAGAAATATAGAAATTCTTGGGGCGCCTGGGTGGCTCAGTCGCAAAGCGTCTGCCTTTGGCTCAGGTCATGGTCCCAGGGTCCTGGGATTGAGCCTGGCGTCGGGCTCCCTGCCCCCTCTCTCACTCCCCCTGCTTGTATTCTTTTTTTCTCTGTCAAATAAATAAAATCTTTAAAAAATAGGAATTCTTTTGAACTGACTTAGGAGTCTTTACGTCTTTGGAAAGTTATGACTTGTTGTAGCTAAATCGGTCATTTCTGTTAAGGAGCATCATATGGTGGCATATACATGAAATTTTTAATTAACTTTCAGAAAATACTTCATAGTTTACTGATAGTATTGTATTAAGGTATAAGACAAACACTTAAAATAGATTCTACATAACTTGTTTTGTGTCTAGAATCATAATGAGACCATGTGTTTTAATTTTCTCATCAATAAAATGGAGAGATATGGTTATTGTGAGAATTAATATTATTCAGTATATGAATCTGCTGTTAGGGTAATTTCATTCATACACTAGTTAATGGATCTAAACTCTTACCTGATAACATGATCCTGTAGTTTAAGTGGGTAGAATCTCTTAGCAGTTACTCTTTACTCTGCCCTCTTGACATTTAATTCATTCTCATTACCTTTCAACAGTTATGTTTTGTCAGCAGATCTTTAATATGTAAATTAATGTATATCAAAGACTTAATAGAAAAACAGAATGATCCCCATTTTAGTATAAATGATCCTCATTGCTAATTTAGGATCAAAAGTTATTGCTGTAGAAATAACGTCTTTTTTTTTTTTTTTTTTTTTAAAGATTTTATTTATTTATTTGAGACAGAGAGAATGAGAGACAGAGAGCATGAGAGGGAGGAGGGTCAGAGGGAGAAGCAGACTCCCTGCCGAGCAGGGAGCCTGATGCGGGACTTGATCCAGGAACTCCAGGATCATGACCTGAGCCGAAGGCAGTCGCTTAACCAACTGAGCCACCCAGGCGCCCTAGAAATAACTTCTTTAGAATTGAACTGTTTCTAGATGGTTTCACTTGAGTGTATAAGTAGTAACTACGTTTACAGGAAAGATGCACAGTATTTTATTTTAGTCAAGCTTTCTTTTTTTAATATATACACCTAGATCTAGCACTTAGTTATTCAGATTCTGAAGACTTGGTATAGAGCCTGTTCCATTCTTTCATAAGTATAATTTAAGTATTACTGTGTGCTAGTTAATTGGTATGGTGTGCAAAATGAGATAGGCTAAGATTAACATTAATCAAGTGATCACACAATTAAGTGTATAATTGTTATAACTTTGGTAAATTATAAAAGGTATGAATGTCACTTTGCACCCTCCCCACCCTGCACCTATGACAGATACTCTGATCGAACCAATTAAAATCCCGAATCTAGGGCGCCTGGGTGGCTCAGTTGATTAAGCTGTCTGAATATTAATTTCAGCTCAGGTCCGGATCTCAGGGTCCTGGGATCCAGCCCCTTTGGACTCTGTGCCTAGGGGGGAGTCTGCTTGAGATTCTCTCCCTCGGCCCCTCCCCCTGCTTGTGCGCATGTGCCCTCTCTCTAATATAAATACACATTTTCTCTCTAAAATAAATAAATAAAATCCAGAATCTATCACATTCTTTTACAATTCACAGCTTTTCAACATAAGTGCATGTACAAACTGTTGAGATTGGAGTCAGAAATTTGGACACTGTATTGTGTTAGGAGCCATGCTCTTGAAGTATGTGTGAGAAGAGGCTTAAAGGCCAGTGTGGTACATAGCTCACTAAGCACCACTTTCACAGGCTTAATGGTGTATGCTTCTGCATTTTATTTATTTTTTGAAAAGATTTTATTTATTCATTTGACAGCACAAGCAAGGGGAGCAGCAGTCAGAGGGAGAGGTGTTAAACTATGTTTTAAAAGTTGGAAAACCAAAGGCTGCATAAACATGTATTGGAAAGGATGTAGAGAAATTCGAACCCTCCTACATTGATAAAGGGAATGTACAATGTGGCAGTCCCTTTGGGAAAAAGTTTGGCAGTTCCTCTGAAGGTTGGACGTAGAATTACCACAGGATCCATCCCACTCCTGCATACATACCAAAGAAGAGTGACAGCATATGTTTGGGAGTCTGTAAGATGGGTTGGTGTTAATTGTTCTTTAAATGTTTGGTAGAATTCACCAGTGAAAACACCTGGTGCTGTGCTTTTCCTTGGAGATTTTGGATTACTGGTTCAGTATGTCTGTTCTGATTTTTTTACTTCTTATTCAGTCTTACTAGGTTGTATGTTGCTAGGAATTTATCCATTTTTTTCTTGGTTATCCAATTTCTTGTCATATAATTTTTCTTTCTTTTTTTTTTTTTATTTGACAGAGAAAGACAGAGCGAGAGAGGGAACACAAACAGGGGGAGTGGGAGAGGGAGAAGCAGGCTTCCCGCCGAGCAGGGAGCCCGATGCGGGGCTTGATCCCAGGACCCCGGGATCATGACCTGAGCCGAAGGCAGACGCCTAACGACTGAGCCACCCAGGCGCCCCCATATAATTTTTTTTTTTTTTTAAGATTTTATTTATTCATTCATGAGAGACAGAGAGACAGAGAGAGAGAGAGGCAGAGGGAGAAGCAGGCTCCCAAGGAGCAGGGAGCCCGATGCGGGACTCCATCCCAGGACCCTGAGATCATGACCTGAGCCGAAGGCAGACGCTTAACCATCTGAGCCACCCAGGCGCCCCCCCCCAATATAATTTTTCATAGTCATCTCTTACAATCTCTATTTTTGTGATGTCCATTGTAATATCTCCTTTCATTTTGAATTTTTGTTATTTAAGACCTCTCTTTTTTCCTTACTCTCTTTTTTTCTTAGTCTAACTAAAGGTTTGTCAATTTGTTGATATTTCCAAAAGATAGTGTTGGTTTTTTTCTGTTTTTCTCTTTTCTATTTAGGTTATTTGTGTTCTCATTTTTATTTTTCTGTTAACTGTGGGTTTAGTTTGTTCTTTTTCCCCTTGTTTATGGTGTAAGTTTAGGTTGTTGATTTGAGATTTTTCTTTTTAATGAGCTTTTTTTTTTAATGTGCATGCTTATAGCTGTACACTTCCCTCTTAACACTGCTTTCACCACATCCCATAAGTTTTGGTATGCTATATTTCGCTTTTGTCTTAAGATATGTCTCATTTCCCTTGTGACATCTTTTGTCTTATTTGTTTTAAGTGTGTGTTATTTAGGGGTGTCTGGGTGGCTTAGTCTGTTAAGCATCCGACTCTTGGTTTCACCTCGGGTCCTGATACTGGGGTTGTGAGATGGAGTCCCGTATCGGGCTCAGCGCTGGGCATGGCGCCTGCTTAAGATTCTCTCTCCCTCTTCCTCTCCCCACCCCCCTCCAAAAAAAAGTGTTATTTAATTTCCAGATATTTGTGAATTCTGTTTCCTTTTGTTATTAACTTCTAGTTTCGTCTCTAGAAAAGATACTTGGTATGATATCAGTACTCTTAAATTTGTTGAGATTTGCTTTGTGGCTTAAGATGTGATGGATCTTGGAGAAAATCCCATTTGCCCTTGAAGAATGAGGATTGTGTTGTTAGTAGTGTTTTTTATATTTTAGGTCCAATTGATCTGTAGTGTTTTCCAGTTATTTTGTTTCCTCATTAGATTTTCTGTTTGCTCGATCCATTATTAAAAGTAGGGTATTTGAAGTTTTCATTTATTGTTAGTGTCCATTTCTCTCTTTGGTCTCTCACTGTTCCATACATGTGGGTGCTGTATTGGGTGCCTGCATATTTATAATTGTTATAATTTCCTGGTGAATTGACTCTTTTATCATAATAATGATGATTATCTCTTGTGACAGTTTTTCTCTTATAGCCTATTTTGTCTTATAAGTAGGGCCACTTCAGCTCTCTTTCCGTAACCATTTGCATGAAGTACCTTTTCTCAGCCTTTCACTTTCACCCTTTGAGTGTCCTTACATCTAGAGTGAGTCTCTTGTTGATAGCATATAGTTGGGCATTGGTTTTTGGTCCATTTTGTCCCTGTGTATCTTTTCTTTTTTTTTTTTTTTTTTTTTAATTTTTTTGGTAAAGATTTTATTTATTTGACAGAGAGAGAGAGACAGCCAGAGAGGGAACCACAAGCAGGGGGAGCGGAGAGGGAGAGGCGGGCTTCCCACTGAGCAGGTAGCCCGATGTGGGGCTCGATCCCAGGGCTCTGGGATCATGACCTGAGCCGAAGGCAGACGCTTAACGACTGAGCCACCCAGGCGCCCTAAAATTTTTTTGAGACACAGATGTGGGGAGGGGCAGAGGGAGAGAATCTCCAGCAGACTCCCCACTGAGTGCAGAGAGGGACACAGGGCTCAGTCTCAAGGACCTATGAGACTACAACCTGAGCAAGACATTTTATTGTTTTCTGTATGTCTTACACCTATTTTGTCTCT